TGAAACTTGAATCTGTTACTTAAAACCCCCAAAATTTACAATAAGATGTACTTGACAAAAACAGCAAAGGTCTGAGAAGAGCAAAGAATTACAAGAGCACAAAGATAGATTTATAGACAATTTTCTTAAATATTAGTGGTCTTATTGTTCAAATTCGTGTTCGGGGATGCAGTTTAATTTCTGAAGGAATCTAGAAAGCATTTTTTCAGCAAAAAAATCAAAAGGTTAATGAGAATACGGAATCCACAACATTAGATTTTTTTCATGACAGCGTCCAAACCCGAAAGCCGTGAAGAGTAAAGGAATCTTGGGGATAAACAAAAGTTAATGTTCATTCACATTAACAATATTCGCCAGATCTTTCGCCTTTTGACTTGATCCATTTACCAAACTTGAGAAAACGCCTTTCAGAAGGAAGAAACAAGTCCAGGAAATCATAGGATCTGCAATAATCCAGTATACACCGTACAAAGGTTCATCCCAGAAGATGAGTTCAGAAAACAATTGAAAATGAATCAGAAATTGGAAAAAAAAAATGTTACTTACATGCGTTTTAATGAAAAGATAATTTTAGGTTAAATCATTATAACTAAATTATTGAAAAGCGACTTTTGTTTCTTTTGGAGCACAGAAGACATTATTTATTAAACGACCCTTGTATAAGGTGACCTACCGATGTACAATATCAGGTGTCCTCTGGTCCCCCCTACTGATGTACAATATGAGGTGACCTCTAGCCCCCCTACTGATGTACAATATACGGTGACCTCTGGTCCTCCTACTGATGTGCAATATAAAGTGGCCTCTGATCCCCTTACTGATGTACAATATAAGGTGACATCCGGCCCCCTTCTGATGTACAATATGAGGTGACCTCTAGTCCTCCTACTGATGTATAATATGAGGTGACCGCTGGTCCCCTTACAGGTCCCCTACTGATGTACAATATGAGGTGACCTCTAGTCTCCCTACTGGTGTACAATATAAGATGGCCTCTGGTCCTACTGATTCACATTATAAGGTGACCCCTGGTCCCCCTGCTGACGTACAGTATAAAGTGTCCTCTGATCCCCTTACTGATGTGCAATATAAGGTGACCTCTGGTCCCCCTTCTGATGTTCAATTAAAGGTGACCTCTGGTCCCCCTACTGATATACAATAAAACGTGGCCTCAGGTCCCCCTACTGATGTACAATATAAGATATCCTCTGACCCCCTTCTAATATGCAATGTAAGATGGCCTCTGGTCCCCTTGCTGATGTACAATATAAGGTCTCCTCTGGTCAACCTGCTGATGTGCAATATAAGGTGACCCCAGGTACCCCTGCTGATGATCAATATAAAGTGACCTCTCATCCCCTTACTGATGTATAATATCAGGTGACCTTTAGTCCTCCTTCTGGTATTAAATATGAGGTGACCTCTGGTCCCCCTACTGATGTACAATATAAGATGACGTCTGGTCCCCCTTCTGTTTATAAATATAAGGTGACCCCTGGTCCCCCTGCTGATATACAATATAAAGTGGCCTATGGTCCTCCACTGATGTACAATATAAGGTGACCCCTGGTACAACTGCTGATGATCAATACAAAATGACCTCTCATCGCCTTACTGATGTACAATATAAAGTGACCTGTAGTCCCCTTTGTGGTGTTAAATATAAGGTGTCCTCTGGTCATCTTTCTGATGTTAAATATAAGGTGACCTCTGGTCCCCCTACTGATGTACAATATAAGGTGACACTTGGTACCCCTGCTGATGTACATATGTAACCTCTGGTCATCCTTCTGATGTTTAATATAAGGTGACCTCTAGTCCCCCCTACTTATGTACAATATACAGTGACCTCTGGTCCCCCTACTGATGTACAATATAAGGTGAACTCTGTTCCTCCCACTGTTGTATAATATAAGGTAACCTCTGGTCCCCCTATTGATGTACAATATAAGGTGTCCTCTGGTCCCCTACAGATGTATAGTGTAAGGTGTCCTCTGGTCTTCTTATTGGTGTACAATATAAGGTGACCTCAGGTCCCTCTACTGATGTACAATACAATATTGGGTGACCACTAGTCCCCGTATTAATGTAAAATATCGGATGACCTCTGGTCCCTGTACTGATGTACAATATAAGATGTCCTCTGGTCCCCCTACTGATGTACAATATAAGGTGACCCCTGGTCACCCTTCCGATGCACAATATAAGGTGTCCTCTGGTCCCCCTGCAGATGTATAGTATAAGGTGTCCTCTGGTCCCCCTATTGATATACAAGAGAGGACCTCAGGTCCTTAAGTTGTCCTCTGGTCCCGCTACAGATGTACAGTACAATATTAGGTGACCACTCGTCCCCGTACAATGTAAAGTGAACTCTGGTCCTTCTGCTGTACAATATACGATGACTTCTGGTTCCCCTACTGATGTACAATATAAGGTGACCTCTGGTCTCTCTACCGATGTACAGTACAATAATAAGTGACCACAAGTCCCAGTACTAATGTAAAATATCGGGTGTCCTCTAGTCCCCGTACTGATGTACAATATAAGGTGTCCTCTCGTCCCCCTACTGATGTACAATATAAGGTGACCTTTGCCCCCCCCCCTTATTTATGTACAAAATAAGGTGTCCGCTGGTCCCTCTACAGATGTATAGTATAAAGTGTCCTCTGCCCCCCCCCCCCCCCTACTGATGCACAATATGAGGTGCCCTCTGGTCTCCTTACTGATGTACAATATAAGGTGTCCTATGGTCCCTCTACTGATGTACAGTACAATATTAGGTTACCTGTAGTCCCCCTACTGATGTACAATATAGGGTGACCTCTGGTCCCCCAAATGATGTACGATATAAGCTAGGTATCCCCAGGTCCCCCTATTATGTGCAATAAAAGATTACCTTTGGACCCCTATTGATTTAAAATATAAGGTGACCTATGATCCCTCTGATGATGTACAATATAAGGTGACCACTGGTCTCCCTAATGATGGTAAATATAAGGTTGCCTCTGGTCCCCCTACTGATGTACAATGTAAGGTGATCTTTGGTCCCCCTATTGATGTACAATATGAGGTTACCTCTGGTCACCCTTTATTACTTTCACGTTTCTGCTAATATATACATTAGAAAGTTGATCTTTATAAAGTTGTAAATATGATTATTTTGGAGTAAGACAAAGAAAATTGTCTATCATATAAAATTCAATTACTATATAAGCTGACCTGAGGTCTCCGTATTGATATCGATGAATTTACTTTTGTGCCTTTAATGCCTGGAGAGTTCCTAGAATGTTGTATTATTACGCAAAATGACGAACTATTTGCGGGGGACTCCAGGTCCTAGTTCAGCGTACGTTTTATCCTTCTATATTTTCAATAGAATGGTGATTTCAAATATTGGGTTTTAGGGAAAATGTACAAAATTACGGCTCTTCGTAATGCTTTGTAAAAGTGATCGATGAAAAATTACCTGTTAAAAAAACAATAAAAAAGCAAATTAACAGTAAAGTTGTCGTAAAATTACCGGTATGTAAAACTTAAATATATGCGAAAGGTTATAATCTGAAATAAAAGGTCTGGAAAACACTCAACCTTTCGCATCTACATGTACCTTTTATCTCCAGTTTATGTAATACCGACATAAAAGTACTCAAGAGCCTTTTACATTCTTTTTTATTTTATGCGATTCATTTAAAAGTAGGGAAACGGTAAAAACAATGCGTGTGAAGGCATTGACAATGTACTGTAGGACTTTAAGTCATGTTTTAAATACAACCTTATCAAATAGTTTGTTAATTGAAGAAAAAAACCTAATAGTCGGTCCGACACACAGTCGGTCATGAATGGTCATGCTATAATTATTAATTAACATTCTCCATTTTTCGGTGAAAGCAGGAAAATATATGAAGTTTTGGTACCAAAATTATATCTATAGAGAATCTGTTGTACTAGTTATAGAAAATCTAAAGAAAGGAGACCTGTCATGGAGGAACTCTGACTTTACAACCAGGATCGATGACAGTAGTGTGATACATCCCCGCGCTTCCTTCCTTTTTAAATTGAATAAATTCCCAAAAGGGGAGGGGTACTCAAGAGAAAAACTTCCCAGGAGAGTCTAAAGGCGGGGTGTTCTCTCTACAACACCGTTCTTTCATTCTGTATAAAAACACAGCTTATTAATGGAAACAAAAGACCTTTTCGGGAGAGTCTAAAGGCCGGGTGTTCTCTACCAGTTCCTTGCAAGGCTCGAATCTCGCACGCTAATATTGGAGTTGGCTGAACATTTAATATTTGTGCTTGTTTTGTAATTCTCTTTTATATTCGAGAGCTAAAAATCCTGTTCATAAAAATAACAAAGACAAAAAATACACCTGGTATTCAAAAGCAGTTTTTGATTTCACCTTACAGAAGTACGATAGAATGTCTTAGGATGAAAAGAGTTTTATTCTTGTATTAAATTCTTTCTATCTTCAATATACATGTAATAACTTACAACATTCTAATTCTTTTATAAATGCTATGTTGTTCTTCAGTTCAGTTATTACGAGTATAAAATTCACGCAAAAAATAAGTTCCTTGCAAATTCATTTTAATTATTTTACGAATGGAATGTTCCTTTCAGAACCCCCTCCTTACATCCCAAGCTAGATATATCATTTCTTCACAATAATAATAACATAGCAGCGTTTTCAGCATTGATAAGCAAAGATGCTTCCAGTTTGTAAATATCATAAAATGTCATACTTTTATATAAGTTTTATTACGATGTTGTTGGAAATTTTATTAACAAACTGGAAATAGGACTAAGGGTAAACCTTAATTAAATTACAAGTTATAATTCCTTATCACACACAGTCAAATGACAATCTTAGTGACCAAATATAAAAAAAAAATATCAAATTGTTCTTTGTTCCTAAATGAAAAACAAATTACTTTGTATAAGACTGAAAATACACCTGACAGGACCCTTTCCCCCATCGACAACAAAACCTAAAAACAATCCACTATTTTACTTTTATGCCAGAAAATGTCACTTCATGTGCCCAGTCACAGAGCAAATGGCTTCCTAAAGCAAGCCTAACATAGACTTGATCCCCTGATTTTAGGCGTATTATTAGAAGATTGGATGACGCTATGGGTACACCATACGCGATCGTCACAACCCTCTCCTTTGTTCGTCCATTGACAACGATATCGGCATTAAAGGTGTGGTTAGCATACGCCAAAATATTACAGAAGAAGAGGTACGTCCCGTTTTTGGGGACTGTGAATATTCCAGTAGTTGCATTGTATCCACCCCCTTGACTGTCAATCACGTCTGTGAATACAATTCTTTCTCCCACGGTCCAGTTCTTTTTGGATTGTGTTCTCCCGGCTGTGAAGCTAATTCTGGTATTTACATCTAAAAAAAAAAGATGTGTGTTGATGTGTGAAACACTTATGCCTCTGTATAGCAGTTCAAGGCAAAGTTCTTATATTTCAGCTGTAAGTTAAAACATCAGTACCCGAAGAAAAGTCTTGTCAAACGGAATAAATGTGAAAAATTAATTTTAAATTCAAAGGTCAGGGTCATGAAAGTAAAATTATTTAATATCATTGGTACTATAATAAATCATAAGGAATACATACTAAGTAAAATATGATTACCCAAGCAACAACCTTCAAAAGGTATAGACATGATTTAATCAAGTTTCCACAAACTAAATGTAGGCACACAGTATGTTATATTTTGGGATGTCACTTAAAAAACTTAAATATGAATTAAAATACATGGTCCTAAATCTTATCACTGGACATAAAAACAGAAAAAGATTTTGCAGAATTTAATTTTTGTACAGTGTATTGTAACAAAAACTCCAGAATATGATTTTATGCATCTGAATTGACTATCGGGTCCACCAAATTTAGAATTTGCTAAATTTATTATTTTTCAAGGGGGGGGGGGGGGGGGGACACTGCCATTACCTGATACTAAGTTTTGGATCTTTGTTTGCATTTCAGATATGGCGAGGCTTGATGTCATCTCTCTATATCTGGAATCATTTGTTTTATGGTCTATGTTGACTGAAATATAAAATTTATCAAAATGCATTATGTTAATATATTTGTAAGTTACTACAAAAAGATTATAAAATGCAATTGCAAGATTCTGGATCCACCCCTGCTCACTTTTAAAATTATTTAACAGAAACACTGTAATGATACATTCTTCTCGCGTGTTATTTTATACAGAATCGTTACCTACACTGTAGTTTGTTGAGTAGGCTAGAGCATCAAGGCAATATGGAAACATGGGATAATTTGTATAAAGGGCGATGCTTGCTATGCATCAGTTATTCAAGGTGACATACCCTACCAATGAGACAGAGAATCTTTATCTGTAAAATATTGTAAATGTAAATTTTTAAATGCTGGGTCTGATAGAAATGAAATACACGAGACTTCACTTAATAATTTCAGTTAGCACCAATTGACATCATGCAGTCACAAACACAGCTGCACGAGATTGACTTGGATATTAGGTTCCTGATATTTCACCGCGAAATATACATTCAGGTGTAGCTATCACGAAATATTTACATGTTTAATTGAATTTTTGAAAGTCATGTAAGTTGATTTCTTGATAATTAAACCTGAATGTAAATACCGCACGGTGAAAGGTCAAGTGCCCGATATGCATGTAAATCTCGTGTGGCTGGCTTTGTGTCTGACGTCAGTTGGCTTGAACTGTTGAATTTGAAATGAGAGGCCCCGTGTATTCGACAGCATTTTTCATATTTATATTTACAATCTTATATCACATATAAATGTATAGAAGTTTGTTTGGTATGCCAACATCAACGCCAGTTGGCAACATGGAAAAATTAATGCATGACAAGTGTGCTATTTATCCCATGGTTCAAACTATCGTTGATGCTTTAATATTTCCATTTCTAATTCTTTTCTTTGTGATAACTGTTTGAAAGATGGGGGAATTTATATCCTGATACTTCTGCCGGAATGTAAACTAGGCAGGTCGATAGCAGCTAAGGAGTACGGAAGCGTATTAGTGCCATGCAACATTTTTTTTTAAGTTGGAAATTCCAACTTTAAAGTTGGCAATTCCAACTTTAAAGTTGGTAATTCCAACTTTAATCTTGGCTTTTCCAACTTTAATCTTGGCTTTTCCAACTTTAAAGTTGGTAATTCCAACTTTAAAGTTGGTAATTCCAACTTTAAAGTTGGTAATTCCAACTTTAAAGTTGGTAATTCCAACTTTAAAGTTGGTAATTCCAACTTTAATCTTGGCTTTTCCAACTTTAATCTTGGCTTTTCCAACTTTAAAGTTGGTAATTCCAACTTTAAAGTTGGTAATTCCAACTTTAATCTTGGCTTTTCCAACTTTAAAGTTGGTAATTCCAACTTTAATCTTGGCTTTTCCAACTTTAAAGTTGGAAATTCCAACTTTAATCTTGGCTTTTCCAACTTTAATCTTGGCTTTTCCAACTTTAAAGTTGGTAATTCCAACTTTAAAGTTGGTAATTCCAACTTTAATCTTGGCTTTTCCAACTTTAAAGTTGGTAATTCCAACTTTAATCTTGGCTTTTCCAACTTTAAAGTTGGTAATTCCAACTTAAATCTTGGCTTTTCCAACTTTAAAGTTGGTAATTCCAACTTTAAAGTTGGTAATTCCAACTTTAATCTTGGCTTTTCCAACTTTAAAGTTGGTAATTCCAACTTTAATCTTGGCTTTTCCAACTTTAAAGTTGGTAATTCCAACTTAAATCTTGGCTTTTCCAACTTTAAAGTTGGTAATTCCAACTTTAAAGTTGGTAATTCCAACTTTAATCTTGGCTTTTCCAACTTTAAAGTTGGAAATTCCAACTTTAATCTTGGCTTTTCCAACTTTAATCTTGGCTTTTCCAACTTTAATCTTGGCTTTTCCAACTTTAAAGTTGGTAATTCCAACTTTAAAGTTGGTAATTCCAACTTTAATCTTGGCTTTTCCAACTTTAAAGTTGGTAATTCCAACTTTAATCTTGGCTTTTCCAACTTTAAAGTTGGTAATTCCAACTTTAATCTTGGCTTTTCCAACTTTAAAGTTGGTAATTCCAACTTTAAAGTTGGTAATTCCAACTTTAATCTTGGCTTTTCCAACTTTAAAGTTGGTAATTCCAACTTTAAAGTTGGTAATTCCAACTTTAATCTTGGCTTTTCCAACTTTAAAGTTGGTAATTCCAACTTTAAAGTTGGTAATTCCAACTTTAAAGTTGGTAATTCCAACTTTAATCTTGGCTTTTCCAACTTTAAAGTTGGTAATTCCAACTTTAATCTTGGCTTTTCCAACTTTAAAGTTGGTAATTCCAACTTTAATCTTGGCTTTTCCAACTTTAAAGTTGGTAATTCCAACTTTAATCTTGGCTTTTCCAACTTTAAAGTTGGTAATTCCAACTTTAATCTTGGCTTTTCCAACTTTAATCTTGGCTTTTCCAACTTTGACTTTTAACGTTTAAGAAAGGATTTTATTATTTATTTACTTATTAATTTTTTGTTTGTCAACAACAAATACTGGATCCGCGCCAGTACGGAATTGATACATTTAGTTATGTTGTATATATTAGCAGAAATGCTTCATTTGATTAAATAAAATTTGATTACATTGAGTATTTAATTGCTGTCTCATTCTTTTATACAATACATAATAAATGACTAATACCTGTAATTGGTTAAGTTGAAATCCTGTCATGTACGGAATACTGTGTAAATAATTTATATGAAGTTATTCTCAATAGAATTACTCAAGAGGACTTCAAGGAATATAAGGATTTCTAAGTAAAAGTTGGAAGTTTTATGTAAGGTCATAAGCAAGGTCAAGGTAAAAAAATAAATCAAACACAAATAAAAAGAAGTCAACAATATATTTTAATGTGCTAGTATTTATTTTCTATTGTAAAAGTACCATATTATAATTCCCCATAATCCCGTCCGCTCTTCTCGAGCCCCCCCCCCTTTCTATTTCGACCCCTATTATTTTCACTTTAATTAAGTTTGTGATACTTTCAACAAAAGAAACAACTAATAAAAGCGGGTAGAAGAGCTCAAATAAAAGTTTGGAAAAGCCTAAATTAAAGTTGGAAAAGCCCAGATTAAAGTTGGAAAAGCAAAAATTAAAGTTGGAATTACCAACTTTAAAGAAAAGCCAAATTAAAGTTGGAAAAGCCAAGATTAAATTAGCCAAGATTAAAGTTGGAATTACCAACTTTAAAGTTGGAATTTCCAACTTTTAAAGTTGGAATTACCAACTTTAAAGTTGGAAAAGCCAAGATTAAAGTTGGAATTACCAACTTTAAAGTTGGAAAAGCCAAGATTAAAGTTGGAATTACCAACTTTAAAGTTGGAAAAGCCAAGATTAAAGTTGGAAAAGCCAAGATTAAAGTTGGAATTACCAACTTTAAAGTTGGAAAAGCCAAGATTAAAGTTGGAAAAGCCAAGATTAAAGTTGGAATTACCAACTTTAAAGTTGGAAAAGCCAAGATTAAAGTTGGAATTACCAACTTTAAAGTTGGAAAAGCCAAGATTAAAGTTGGAATTACCAACTTTAAAGTTGGAAAAGCCAAGATTAAAGTTGGAATTACCAACTTTAAAGTTGGAAAAGCCAAGAATAAAGTTGGAATTTCCAACTTTAAAAAAATTATTGCGTGGCACTAATACGCTTCCGTAAAGGAGGCCTAATACGCATGCAAATCTCGTGCGCATCTGTCTCTGTGTCTGACGCTAAGGAGGTCAAAGATGCATGTAAATCTCGTGCAGCTGCTCAATCGGCAATCCTCGGCTGACTCCGCTCCGCTCCATTCAAACCTCGGATGTGATTGGTGGAGGAATACGCAACAGATCCTTGCATTTCTCCGCCGGAAACTGCCTTATCACTCATTTCATATTTCGCTCTGCCTAAAGTTCTTCGAAAAGGTTTGTTTATTTGTGTAATTCCTCGTGTTAATCACAACCAAATGTTAGTAGTCTTTGAAAGCGAATACATAGTGTTGGGCGTGCAACAAAATAACTCGGATTTCCAATGTTTAATATTTGAATGAAATTCAAATACGATCACATGACTGAATCAGCAAGATGGTAGATCACCGTTGACGTCCGAGGTTATGTGCGAGGTACGAGTCATCCGAGGAACTCCGAGTGGCAGCTGCTTTTGTGTTTGACGTCAGTGTGCGAAGACTATTGACATTGGTATGGAAGTCCTCGTGTATTTTAAATCTATTAGTCTACATTTTTAATGTCTAACTCTACAATTTTATTTCACAATGAAATGGAAATATAAGGAATCACTGTCTAGTTGTGAGAGTATGCCAGCGACATCAATAGTGGGAAACATGGGATAATTTTAGCATAACGGGCTTCGCCAACTAGACAGTGATTCCTTAAACGTGTTACCACACGCAATACAATAAAAAGTGTACATATTTCATTGAAGTTTAATAATTATTAAATGGAGAGGCACAAACCTATCACTTCATTTGATTCCGCGATGTTCTTCCTCAGTTCTTCAAGTAACAAAGTAGTGTTTTCCTGATGTTGTTCAAGATGCCGCAAATCCCTTCTGACGTCATTCAAAGAAAGGGAAATATAGTGATTCTGTTTTGTAGCAATATCCACAGAATTCCCAAGCGTCGTTATGTTGTTAACTATGTCCTGCCTGTTTTGGTGAAACTCTTGCTGAATTTCAAAACTAATGGACTGTTTCATCGTGTTCAGGCTTTGAACAGTAGCTGAGAGATCGTGTTCAAAATTTTTCATTGACTTGTTCAGGAAGTAGATATTCGTTCCATCGAGTTCCAGGGACTTGTTCAAGTGTGTTAAATTATCTGAAAGACTGGAAATGTTCTTTCTTGTCTCTTGCATTCCTTCATGACAAGTCCGATTGCACAAAATGGTAAACTGCTGTAACATTTCCATCTGGTGACGTAGATTTTCTATTTCACTTTTGTGTACTTTTCTTTGCTCTCTCAGCTCACTCTGAAGAAAGGTAACTTGGCTCATTGTCGACGCAAGTCCTTGTTTTAGAAGAACGACATCTTGTAATAGATTATGCAATGCATATGTCTCTCCTTCAGATTTTGTAACTGTGCCATTCGGGGGAATCGGCGTGCCACGGGTATGGAAGGGAATTACCGCCAAAAGTCTATGTATCTTGCTTTTATTCTTATTCTGCCTACTTCTTTATGCTTTGTTATTATTGTAATTATATGTCACTTTATTGTTTTCATATTCGTCTTCATTGCATTTCACTTTGACTTTTATCCTTCTTCATTTTTCCCTTACTTCTATGTTGCTTTATTCTTGTTAATTCATTTTACTTTCTTTTAAATTGATACAGTTTCTTAAATGATTATCTCAATTACGAACGTGAATTCAATCACACAAAGAATGAAGCATATTCAATGAAGA